TTTCAACCCAGAATCTCCTATCCAGCCAAACTAAGCTTCATAAGTCAAGGAAAAATAAAATCCTTTGGGAACATGCAAGTACTCAGAGATTTCATCACCACCAGGCCAGCTCTACAACAGCTCCTGAAAGAGGCTCTACACGTATAAAGGAACAACAAGTACCAGCTCAACTAAAGGGCAAAACACCCAGCTAGCACCAAAATGGCAGTATCAAATTCACACATAACAATATTAACCCTAAATGTAAATGGACTAAATGCCCCAATCAAAAGACACAGACTGGCCAATTGCATACTACTTGTACCTGTATGCATGCTGCATTTGTATGTATACTATATACTGCATATGTGTGTACATGCTATACATGTGTATTCTCTACAGTGTACTGTGTATGTACATTGTATACATGTGCATATGGGTATGCTATGTGCATGTGTATGCATGTTGTGCACCTATGTGTGTACATAGTTTGGATATGAATGTGTATATGTGTGTATATGCATGTTATAGAATACCTGTGTACATATGGATGTGCATATGTGTATGCCATATGCATGTACATATGTGCTGTAATGTACCTATGTATGTATATTGTGTATGGCTATGGCTGTGTATGCTATATGCATATACATATATTTTATACTGCACTTATGTACACTGTGTGGATATCGATGTGTTTATGCTCTGTGAACACACATAGTGCATTTATGCATGTACGCCATATGGATATGGCTGTGTGTATGCTCTATGCGTGTACATGCATATTATATTGTACCTATGTATGTATGCTGGATATGGGTGTGTGTATGCTCTATGCATGTACATACGTATACTGTATCTATGTATGTACACTGGATATGGGTGTGTGTACGCTGTGCATGTGCATACGTGTTATAGTGTACCTATGTACATACTCTGTATGGATATTATGGTTATGGCTGTGTGTACACTATATGCATGTACGTACATGTTATGCTGCACTTACACATGTACACTATGGATCTGGATACACTGCACATGCATAGATGTTATAGTGTACCTGTGCATGTACAGGGGGTGGTTATGGATGTGTGTACACACTATGCATGTACATATGTGTTGTAGTGTACCTATGTAGATGCACGATATGGATGTGTATATGTGTGTGCTCAATGGATGTACGCACACATTATAGTGCACTTATGTTTGCACACTATATGGATATGGATGTGTGTACGCTTTGTGGCACCAGGAATAGGGCTCTAGTAGGGATCCAGGAACACACCATCTCGCTAGCACCAGAGAGTATGGGATGACAATACTATACTATCCTTGCAACCTAGTTGAAATTTGGCCAGTTACTGGACCCTTTGCAATGATTTAGGAACCAAAAACTTCATTGACATGTGTGTTCCTGAAATCATAAACAGCTCTATGAGGTGTGTTTCATCCCCAGATGAGAGAGAACCGAAGCAGTGACTCGATGGCTGAAGTGAGGTAGAACTAGCAGAGCAACTGTCTAGCTTCCTTATCACAACTTTGTTAGTGCTCAACTCAATAAGTGAGAAGTTGCCATTCATCAGAAAATGTGTTCATATTGTTTCTCTTTATTCGTGGGGTAGTTACTGCCTTGTGTTCTTCCTCATGATATAGCAAAATCCCTCCTACCATTGCAAATATAAACAGTTTGTGACAAATATAATATCTTCTTTGTTAAAGTAGAAAACAATGTGTAAGTTCATTTTCAGGTACTGTTTGGAAGGATGAGAAAGAAGATATTTAGATCAAAAGCCTAGAAAGGTTTCAAGTAAACGGGAAATTGGAACTTTGTACAAAACATTTCCAAATTTGGAATTTAAGAATAAGAAATCTCAAGTCTAAGATTGTAGTTAGTTTCTCAGGTTTTAGAAATTAGTACTTTGTTTTCTATGTCTTTGAGAATTTCACTGCTGGTGGACGATTGCAAGAATAATCTGATTTTTCAGAACAGAAGGATGGTCTGTCTCAAAGGTAAATTCCAGGTTCTAACCTAGAGAAATAGAAATTGCTCACAACTTTCTGAAAGATTCTTCAGTTCTTTCCTCTTTTGTGGTTAAAAAACCATCCCTGGTTTAGTCTCAGCCAAGTTCACCTTATTAGGTTGCCTTAAGTTCCTATGTTCCTCATAGGTGTTCAGAGTCTTTGTCATTCGTTGTTATTTAACTTTTCATATTAAAAGAAAAATCTTGTACTAGTTAGTTCTGAGCACCTTGAAGGCAGGGCCTTGTTTGATACTTTTAATAAGGAGCAGGCTGTTGGCAGGGCCGGGGCCCTTCACCCTGCCATATGTTCCTGAGCATCCACAGAGTTCTTACTGCGTGCTAAGCATGGTGTTGACTATTGCAGGTTTAAATAGGAATACGAGGCTCTGTGACTCGGGAAGCTCTTACCACCTTCATAGGGAGCTTGGTGACAGCTTAGCATGATAAACTATAAACAACAGGTGTACAAACTGTTATGGCCACATAGAAAGGGCATTGATTTAAACCTGACTAATTTCTCATGTTTACTTTTGCCTTGATTCCTAGTTACAGTCCTGATGCTTTTTCTTCCTTTAAATTCTTGCTAATTACTGATGAATTAGTGATAAACTGTATTTATGTGTTCCCTAAATCTAGCAACTTACTTAATTGGA